GTGGGGGGTTTTAAAGGGGGTTGGGGGGGGTTCCAGGAATGCTGAGGCCTTGCTGGGAGGCTCAGGGGGTTCTGGGGGCTGTGACCCCCCCACCCTTTCCCAGCAGAGGAGCTGAAGCCTGAAGGGGGTCGGGAGAGCAGCTCCAAGGGCCGGAGCTGCAGCCGTGGCCCTGCAGGAATGGGGGACCCTGAGAGGTGAGACCCTCCCCCAAAACCCCCTCAGGAACCGGGAACCCCCCCGGGCACACAGAATTTTCCAGAAATTGACCTCTGACCTCTGCTCCTTAGGAGGGACCCCCGGAAGGAGCACGAGCCAAAGAAACTGGAGGAGAACCCCCCCTCTGTAAGGATCCAGGGGGACCCCCCCTCAAATCCCGGGTTTGGGGGGTTTGGGGAATTTCACCATAACTGATTCCCCATGCCTCCAGTTACCAGCAGGGGCTGGGACCCCTCTTTGGGGTGAGGGAACCCCCAGGGGACTTCGACCTCTCAAATCTCATTTTTTGGGATATTTTGGGAATTTTCTGCTTTACTGTCCCACTCCCTCTGCCCACCCCCACAGTTCAGCCTTGGACAGTGTGTGAAACCCCTTTTGGGGGTGCATGACTCCCTGGGGGTCTTCACCCCATGCAAATCTTGATTTTTTGGGGGGTCTTGGGAATTTTTTTTCAACAATGACCCCCTCGCCCTCCCAGCTGAACCTCCCCAGCAGTTTTGGATTTCTGTGGTCCCTTTTGGGAGGCTGTGACCCTCTGGTTTTGGGATGTGTGAGCCCCTGGGGAGTTTTATCCCCCTCACATCCCATTTTTGGGAATTTTTCCTGGTTTTTCCTGCAGTTCAGCCATGCCAGCAAATATGCCGCGCTCTCCATGGATGGGGAGGATGAAGGTGATGATGAAGAAGGAGCTGAGTAAAAGCTTCCTCCCCCTCCTCCTCCTCCTCAGCTGCCACGGGAACCTCCGGAGATTCCCAAAAATCCCAACCTTGATCCAGGCGAGACGGAAATAAAGCCTAAAACTCATCAATTCCCTCAGCTACAGCTTCTTAAATCCCGACAAAAAAAACCCCACCATGAACCAATGGGAACCACCCCAAAATCAACACGGGGGGCGGGAGGAGTAATTCCAAGTGTTTTCTTGAAAGAAAAGCCTCCCTCTCTGTGTTTTACATGGAATAAGGGGTGAGGAAGAGCTGGCCTTCCTCCCACCCCCTCCTCACTGGAGCCCCTCCAAAACAGGATTGGGAGGCATCCAATCCCCCCTCCTGGGATCCCCTCTGCCCCCCATTTTCCTCACCTCTGGAATGTTGATTTCCCCCTGGACACCTTCATCATCCTCCTGCTCACAGGTGTCCCCCCAGTCCCCCACCCAATTTTTGGGATGCAAACCCTGCCCTTTACACAGGAAAACTTGGATTTCCACCCCAGAACCTCAAGATACTCTGAGATTTTGAGATTTGGGGTGGGCTGTAAAAATGTGTAAAAAGAACCTTCCCAGAGGTTTTGGGAGGTCCTGGGGGAGTTTTGGGGTTCTCCCCCAGGCTGGGGGCTGTTTGTTTTCTCCAATAAAATGAGCTGAAAAATATCAGAAAGGCCCCAAATCCTTCTGCCCTTCTCCTCCCCACCTTGGAGGGGAGCGGGGCAGTTTCCAAAGCCCCCCAGGGGGAATTTCCTGTCCTGACATTGGTCTTCCTTTCTCTGGGCTTCCTTTTCCCTTCTTGCATCCTCTCCCCTCATTCCATCTTTCTTCTTCCTTCCTCATTCTTCTTCATTCCTTTTTTCTTCCTGCCTTCTCTTCATCCTCCTCCTTCCTTCCATCCTCCCCAGCTCTTCCCCCCTTTCCTCTTCCACTTCCTTACTTATTCCTCCTCTCCATCATTCCATCTCCTGCTTCCCCTTCAACTTCCTCTTTCCACCTCATTTGCTTCCTCCTCTTTCCTTCTTTTCCCTTCTTCCTCCTTCCCTCTGTCCTTCCTCCCATTCTTCCTTCTCCTTCCTCCTTCGCTTTTCTCCTCCTTCCATCTTCTTCCTCCTCATCCCTAATTCTTCATCCTCTTCCTCCTCCTTTTTCATTTTTCCTTCTTCACCTTAATCCTGAACCTTCCTTCTTTGCGTCCTTCCATTCCTCCTCCGCCGCCGTTAATTAACGGTGATTAACTGGGGACGCGGGCACAGCACCGAGCCCCGGGATGCC